TGCTTCCAACAATGCTAATAATCAAAAATTTGTTGTATAGGGTGTTGCGGTGTGAAACCAGCCTCAGAATCAAGATGTTGATGTAGAGGGTGTTGTGGTGCAAAACCATCCTCAGATTCAAGATGTTGTTGTAAAGAGTGATGTGTTTAGACTAATGAGAGCTCTTAGGGCGAGGAGAAGAAGAAGAAGGTTGATAAGGAAAATGATGATTTTTTTTCAATTGTAATGATGATGATGAGGCTGATTATGATTGGTCTAACTTTATCTCAGCAAGAGGATATAGATTTGATAATGGTTTTTGATCATGTAGTGAAAGTTTTATGTAATGAAGTTTTAATTTTCTTAACTCTCTTAAGGTTATCAACTTAATCATTCAACTTAAACTATCAACTTAACCTATCATCTTAAACTACAAAATATATAAAACACATAATTGTAAGTGGAAATTCAATAGTTTGAGATGAACTTACTCGTAAGAAATCTTCTGTTATTGCATTCCTGTCAAGTTCACTGCATCTTCAACTATTACATTTCATAATAAAGTAAATATTAAACATAAAGGATATAAGAAAATGTAACATTTTCAAATTTCAAACCCTACTTAAACTATTACATTTCATAACAAAGTAAATATTAAAGATAAAGGAGATAAGAAAACATAACATCTTCAAATTTCCATAAAATCTCTCAGAATTCAGTTTGCTCTTCAAATTATTGTTATTATTTTTTGAATCTTCATACATAACCTTCAAATACCCAACAACTTCCAACTCTGACATCATATTACTCTCTTCTTCCAATTTTTCTCTCATGTCTTCATCCTATATAAACAAGTTACATTTTTCATCACTCCACCAAAATGGACATCTCTAAAAAAGCCTTCCTTTATTTTTATCCCTCTTGCATTGGTATGAAACCATATTACTATCACAACCACATAAATTTCCAGATCAATATTTTATAGTGGAAGAAGACATGGTAACACCTTTGATTGAGTTACTCTTCAAATGCGACATTGAGATGAAACTGGACAACAACAATGAGTGTGGTGTTAGGGTTGTTATCTTTTTCCCAACGATGTCGACGACATTGGTGTTAGAGTTGTTTCTTTTATCAGTGGAAGAACGAGTACTTAGTGTTTAATATATATAAAGAAACGCCAGTGTGTAACAATAGTTTTACAAAAGAGCCATAATGATATCCCTATTATTTTTTAATTATATATAAATATAATTGAAAAGCCGTGTATTAACGTAAAAGGGATAAACTATTTGAGGGAGATGAGGATCAAACCCAGAAAAACTATACTGTATCACCACGGTTAGGGAATTAACCGTAATTATAACCTTAAAATTTTCAACAAAAAAATTAAAAAAAATAATTAGCGTATTAGTTTAGAAGTGTCACCACAGTTTTGAGGCGAACTGTGGTGACTTTGGTGTTGTTGTATGCATATTTATAGTTGTGGGTGGCGTTTTGAGGTAATTTAATAAACCTGCTCATCTGAGGTGAACGACTCCGCCGATGGTCGGTGATGCTTGTTAGCAAATTTACTATCAACGGTTGTCATGTGTTAAGATGGTAATGAGTGTTGTGCTCTTTTGGATGTTAAAAGTGTGTATTACTTGAGACCTCCTTATCTCCTTGATATGAGATGTATTTATAGAAGTCCTTAGGGCCTAGGGTTTCCTCGGAGAGTGCCACTGTCCAATTGGTCAATAATGGACAGTTGAATTTCTATTTCTAAGGGAGTCATTAGTTAATGACAATGACTTTCTCTCACCCTCTAAAACGTCTTATCTCACGTTTTCCCACGTATGGGCAAGGAAATACTACAGCGCGAGGCGATACATCCTTTTGAGTTACCTTTCGTCGTTGCTTCTCCTAGGGAGGTCCAACAGCAACACCATAGGCGGGGCTTTTTGCAAATATAACACTACAAAAATAAATCCTCGATAGTCATTATTTGAGATACTATTAAATTGTTAGATAAAAAATTGTAAGTTGAATGGATGCCAGCTTGAATTGTGAATGTAATCAATCTATTTATAGTATTAATATCACTCTCAAAATGTCGTAGAGTCAATGTGCGAGAATACCTAAGATAATTCAACTTATATTCAAGTATGTATAAGACAAATAAATACTCGAACATAGGAAATGTGAAAATATGGAATTTTCTAGAAAAGGATAAGTTTATGTTATATGATTTCTGAATCCAAAATGACCTATTTCTAAACGATGTAGTGTGTTTCACAAGGTTGCGACCTTGACGAAACACACTTTTTCAGCAACAATTTACATTAAGTATCGTAACTTTTCACCTTTTACCAACTATTGCAACACGTCACAAAGTATTGTTATTTTTAAACTCAAAAAATAATTGCTTCGAGCAACAACCACAACCATGTGCGGTAGCTTGCCGCCACATGTCGGTCGAATGTCGACCACCAGAGCATCATGATATAATGTCACAAGTTGTCTGATTGGTGCTTAAGTACCGCGTATAAGCCAGCATTAACGCCTCTACGCTCATGTCTCCGATTTCGAACAACAACAGGAAAAAAAAAGTGTGGATATAACAAGTGACATATGATTTAGAACCATTACACTTATCCATGTGATACTTTATCTTCTTTAACTCCTTTTTTTTTGAGTTAATGAATATATAACTCTATATAAGAATTATTAAAGTGAGTTTAACAAACTATTTCTTATTCATTATTGGAAAAAGTTTCCTACTTCTGATTCAATGATCTCCTCAATTACCATTACCTCTATTTATAGAACAACAAGCGCGTGTTTATAATAAACTCAAACATAGCAGCACCATAAGCGATAGTAACTTATTAAGCACCTCAAAGCCATGTACATAGCTTATGCATGTCAAAAGTATAAGAGAAAATAATAAAATTAGTGTCTCAAAATTAAAGGTGTCCTTATTATTATTTTGAGGTGTACTAAGTGTTTTTTTTATGCCCTGGATACCCCACATGCAATGGTCCTACACTAATGTCTAGTCACATTCACATCTATCTCAAAATTATTTATACAAGTTTTCTCATTCCTTCTTTCATTCAATCACCTTCTTATTATCTCCTTCTTTCTCTACTTATGACTCTTTATTATAGATCATCATCATCTTAAAATTAATATGTCAAAATCAATAGAACTCCCTAATTGCACCTATCCACGTGAACCAGTAACTAATATTCCACCAAGTGCTCCAACACCAAAACATTATCTCTATCTTTCCAATCTTGATGACCAAAAGTTTCTTAGATTTTCAATAAAGTATGTGTACATTTTCAAGAAATCAGTGAACTTGAATAACTTGAAATCTTCTCTGTCTAGAGTTTTGGTGGATTATTATCCTTTAGCAGGGAGGTTGAGAAGGTGTTCCTCTAATTTGGACGATGATGATGGTGATGATGAGAAGAAGCTTGAGGTGGATTGTAATGGAAAAGGTGGTTTGTTTGTTGAAGCTTTCATGGATATTACTGCAGATGAATTAGTTGAACATTCTAAGTTTCCGAATAAATCATGGAGGAAGTTTTTGTATAAGGTGGAATCTCAGAGTTTCTTAGATGTTCCTCCACTTGTTGTTCAGGTTTGATTCTTATGCTAGTTCTTGTTTCTAATAAATTATCTTTATGAAACTTCTTTCCTAATATGTAACGCTTTAACAAAAGTTTCTTATAAACGAGGATAATTAATCAAGTCACCGACAATTTGTAAAGTCTTAATCAAAGTTAACATCATAGTACACTAGAAGGTGAGGCCTAATTTGCATTTTCTATGATGTGTCCTTGTAAGAAAATTATTCTATAAATTTTTCGTGTAGAATTTTTAAGAAGAAAAAATGTAACATAATATATTAACAAAAAAACTGATAATTTGTGTGTTTTATTTGTAGGTAACAATCCTCAGTTGCGGTGGAATGATTCTCTGCACCGCAATCAACCACGCCCTATGCGACGGAATCGGCACATCTCAATTCCTCCACGCATGGGCCCATCTTACCACATCTCCCAAAACCAATCTAACCATCTCACCCTTCCATTCCCGCCACGTGTTGCACCCACGACAACCAGCTACCGTAAACCTCCATAACCACGCATACACCAGATCTCAACCAAACCCTCAAATAAACCTCCATAAATCAATCCAATCTCAGCCCTTAATACCCACATCCTTTACCTTTAATTCCACCCATATCCTCTCTTTAAAAAAACAATGCACCCCTTCACTAAAATGCACCACCTTTGAAGTAATCGCAGCGCACACATGGCGCTCTTGGATTCGTTCATTAAATTTAATGTTACCATTACCCTCCACATTAAACGTGAAGCTACTTTTCTCTGTTAACTTTCGCTCCGTTATGAATTTACCAAAAGGATATTACGGAAATGGGTTTCTATTAGCGTGTGCCGAAAGTAAAATAGAAGATTTATTGGACAATAATAACCTTCACTATGTTGTGAAGTTAGTGCAACAAGCAAAATCAACGGTGAATGATGAGGAATATATAAGATCAACGGTTGATTTGTTGGAGGATAAAACAGTAAAAACAGATGTTTCAACTAGTTTGGTTATTTCACAGTGGTCGAAACTGGGGTTAGAAGATGTGGATTTTGGAGAGGGAAAAGCGTTGCATATGGGTCCTTTGACTAGTGATGTTTATTGTTTGTTTTTACCAGTGGTTGGCGATGGCGTTGACGGTGTGAGAGTGGTGGTTTCTGTGCCGGAGAGTATGGTGGAGAGTTTTGAGTATCAGATGACTGGAAGTTGGGAGAAGAAAAGGGAAAATGGTGATAAGGTTAAGAATGGGTTTCATGCAAATGAGATTTTGTTTTTGTGAAAATGGTGTTAAGGGTTTATCGAGTCTTTAGTTGAATAATTTAGTTTGTTAGGATTTTACAAGTCTTTAGTTGAATTATTCGGTCCTATATTATAGGAGAACTTAGTAGTAGTTGATTCCTAAAAGTTGGGATTTTCAGATGTACTTAGGCTATTTAAGAGAAGCCAAAGAACAAATAAAATTATCACGTTTTTCATTCTCAATTCATTGTTACACTGAAATTGGTATCAAAGTCTCAATTGTGGTCTGTTCAGTGAGAAAGAAAATAGAGAATACAGAAGATTCAATAATGACAGGAGAAGGGCACAACATGTTAACCATCCCCAAATTTGATGAGAACTATGAGCACTGGAGCATGCTAATAGAAAATTTGCTGAGATCGAAAGAATGGTGGAATTTGACTAAAATTGGCTATGTTGAGCCAGCTCGAGGAAAAATTTTGAATGGAGCACAGAGACAAACTTTGGTGGATCTCAAACTTACCGATCTTAAAGTAAAAAAATTATCTATTCCAAGCTATAGATAAATAAATTTTGTAAACAATAATTCAGAAGGATACCTCTAAACAATTGTGGGAGTCACTCAAAACCAAATATCAAGGAAGTAAGTGCATTCAAAGGGCGCAACTTCAACGCCTCAGAAGGGAGTTCGAAATATTGGAAATGAAGAACGAGGAAACCATTGCAGATTATTTCTCTAGGGTATTGCTAGTGGCAACTGAGATGAGGAACCTTTGAGAGGATATACAGGACAACCAAATTGTGGAGAAGATTTTGCACGCACTCTCAGAGAAATTCACATACATAATATGTTTAATTGAAGAGTCAAGAGATATTGATAGTCTCTCGGTGGATTCACTTCAGAGTTCATTGTTGTGTCATGAGCAAAAGATCATGAGACATCACCCAAAGACAACAACAAAGGAAGAACAGGTTTTGCAGATTACATCCTCAAGAGAAGGAAGCTTTGGTGGAGTACGAGGAAGGGTCAGAGGAGCATTCAGAGGTCGAGAACGTGCATGTGGAAGATTTGGGCTTGACAAAACTCAAATATAATGTTATAGATGTCATAAGTTTGGGAATTTTCAATTTGAATGTCCTAGTGGGAAAAAGCAAGTTAACTATGTGGAGTTCAATGAAGAGGAGGAACTCTTACTGATGGCACATGTGGAGATACAAGGCACAAAGATGAAGGATTTGTGGTTTCTTGACAGCGGGTGCAGCAACCATATGTCAGGAATCAAGAAATGGTTCTCAGATATGGATAAAACGCTTAAGCACTCAGTGAAGCTAGGAAACAATGCAAGGATGATGGTTCATGGGAAAGGGAGTATCAAGCTTAAGATAAATGGCTTGTTTCAAGTAATCAAGGACGTGTATTATGTTACGAATCTAAGCAATAATCTTTTGAGCATCAAACAATTACAAGAAAGAAAGCTGAAAATTGTAATCGAAGATAATACGTGCAAAATTTATCACCCAATTAAGGGGGTCGTTATGGACACTAAAATGAGTGCAAATATAATGTTTGCAATCCTGGGCAGAACAGCCGATGCAGAATCATGTTTCCAAGCCATCAGCTCTGAGGATGCCCATCGATGGCATTGTCGGTATGCACATTTAAATTTTAAAAGTTTGAAAACTTTGTATTCAAAGAATATGGTTATTGGACTGCCACATATAAGAAATCCAACAAATCTATTTGAAGATTGTCTCATGGGGAAGCAAAAAAGAGAATCATTCCCAAGGAAAAGCAGTTGGAGGGCATCGAGAAATTTGGAACTTATCCATGCAGATATATGTGGTCCAATTACTCCAATGTCAAACAGTCAAAAGAGGTATCTCCTAAATTTTATTGATAATCATAGTAGAAAAATGTGGAGTTATCCCATTTTAGAAAAATCAAAAGCACTGACTATCTTTAAGAGTTTCAAAGCCATTGTTGAGAAAGAACCAAGGTCTCTAATATGCTACACCTCAGAACTGACCGAGGCGGAGAATTCACTTCGCAAGAATTTAATGAGTTTTGTAAGATTCAAGGCATCATAAGGCAATTAACAACGGCGTATACTCCTCAATAAAATGGAGTAGTGGAGAGGAGGAACCAAACAATCATGAATATGGTGCACAACACTTTATTGAACCAAAAGATGCCAAAAGAATTTTAGGTCGAGGGAGCAAAATGGATAACTTATGTATTGAATCATAGTCCAACACAACACTACAAGAACAAATGCCAGAAGAAGCCTGGAGTGGCCTCAAACCAAATGTAAGTCATTTCAAAACATTTGGGTGCATTGGGTATGTTCACATTCCAGAAGCAAGAAGAACCAAGCTTGATAACAAAAGCTGCAAGGCAATTTTTCTTGGTGTCAGTGAGGAGTCCAAGGCATACAAAATGTACAATCCCAACTCTAAAAAGATAATTATCAGTCGAGATGTTGTGTTTGAAGAAACTAGAGCTTGGGATTGAGGAAGGAACGATGATCATGTGACTACAACTTCTAATGTACTCACATGGGAGAATGATGGAGAGGATACTGAAGGCCATGAGGATCCTGAAGCAGTAGGCACCACACATGAGTAAAGTCATTAAGAATAAGAGAGCTCCTCGTCTAATAGCTCAACTGCAATAGGGTGTAGAGCGAGAAGAGAAGTCAAACAACCTGTATATCTCCAAGATTATGTCTTTGAAGGCGTGCTTTCAAAGGAAGAAGAAGAAGAAGCGGTGTTCATTAATACCTAAGCCTTTCAAGTCCTTATTTATGAAGGAGACCCATTAAGCTATGAAGAGGCAGCAAAACATCCAGAATGGATAAAGGCTATGCAAATAGAAATTTAAGCCATTGTATGTAATCATACATGGGAGTTGAGCTCACTGCCAAAAGGTATGAAATCTATTGGTGTTAAATGGGTTTTTAAAACTAAACTTAATGAGCATGGACATTTAGATAAATGTAAAGCCATACTAGTAGCTGTTGTACCCCAAAATTTTCCCTCCCATTTTACTCAATAAATATCAATTGAGGTCCCCAAGTTGCTCAAGAAAGTCCAAGAGTTGACCAGACAAACTCTCTCCTAAGGTAGTATATCTCAAATTAGGGTTTCCATTTTCATCAAGATGTGTGAACGACAAAGACCTCATAGGTTTGAGGCCTGAAGAGAAAGATCATGTAGCCCTGGCCTATGGATTTCATCTTTAACTTGACGCCTTAGATCGAATACCCTGCCTTTCGCTCTGGCCATACAAATCCATCCTTCGACCAAACTCAAGAGTAAACGAAATTGAATGTCTCCAATAATGGCATGTCTTTCGATTGGGCCCTATTCAGCTGAATATACCACTTTGAACCCTTTTGTTTTTGATCACGTAAGTCCATCCTTTGACCAAACTCAAGGCAGGCAAAACTAAATATTCCCAACAATGGCATGTCTTTCGATTGGGCCATATTCACCTGAATATACTACTTTGAGTAGGCAAGATAATCTCAATGGCATAGTCAAAATGAAAGGAATTATGGATTACCTTCTTACTTCACCAAAAGAAGCCAAATACCCCAAACAATGCATAGGAACCAAGCTTGCTCAAAGAAGCCAGATTCCCAATCGAAAGAGGTATGCGTGGAGGTGGATTCAAAGAAGGCATTAAGGTGGATTCGAAGCATGCATTAGGTGGATTCGAAGCAGGCTTGAAGGTGGATTTGAAGCAGGCTTGAAGGTGGATTTGAAGCAGGCTTGAAGGTGGATTCGAAGCAGGCTGCTTCAAAGGAAACAATGCCCCAATCGAAACTTGTGAAACAAACATGAATCAAAATAATGCTCAGTCGAAGCTAGCATGAATCAAAGCAAGCTTTCTTTTCTTCAATTTTTGTTAAAAAATAAAATTTATCTTCTTTCCCTTTTCAACAGTTTTCTCTTTGACTTGATGTTTGAAAATCCAATGGAAACTATGTGGGGAATTAAAAATCCAAATGTTCTTGTGCAAACTTGAATTTTTTTGAAAATCCTTGTGAGAAAATGTCTTGAGAAAAGAGAGGGCAAATTTTGGGGTACAACAACTGCCCCTGTTCAATCTTCTTAAACCTGAAGAGTTAGATTGGTGAGTCCTCCATTCGTGACTTGAAGGTGGAAGATGATTGAACACTAGAGTGCCTAGAAATTTGCACTTGATGATATGGTTGATTATGTAGGGAATGGGCTTAAAGATGCCATTTAGAGAGATGATGGAGAGTTGTCAGAGACGGGCTTATAGATGCCATCCAAAGGTGATTGTTGGTAGGAATTGGAAGAAGTATCAGAATAATTCTTTAGTCAATTTAAACTGAACCAGAAGCAGTGCCTACTGGAAAAGTATCAGAATAAATCTTTCGTCGATTTAAATTGAACCAGCAGATGTCTGCGTTCGTCTTTAACTGAAAAAGAATCAGAAAAAATCTTTGGTCGACTTTAACTAAACCAAAAAGAGTGTCTCCTGGAAAATTATCAGAATGTCAGGCGTATCTGGATCGCATCTGAACTGTTTCTAGAAGAGTGTATGAGAAGGATCCCGTGTAGGATTGCTTCAGCTGGTCGTGTAGATAGTTGCCCTGGCTTGTTTTCAGGAATTAATCTACAATCGATTGTCCTCAGATAGTTGTCTTGTCTTGTTTCAGGTATTAATCTGGAACTTCTTTTTATTGGTCGTTGAGATAGTTGTCCTGTCTAATTTCAAGTATTAATCTCTGACATAAGAGAAAGACAAATAGTTTTCCCGTTTGGTTTCGGGTATTAATTTTCAATCTGTTAATGTAGATAGTTGTCCTGTCTGGTTTCAGGTATTAATCTACGATCAATCATTCACAGATAGTTGTCATGTCTTGTTTCAGGTATTAATCTGGTACTGTTGGAAATTGGTGAAGATACTTGTCTGTTTGCTAACTTTTCCTGAAAAGGGTAAAGAGTCAGCTGTATGCAGTGTCATGATGTATGAGATGCATCGAGTAATAAATGAGATTGCGATATATTCATTTGTGATGCAGATGCTATGATGTTAGTAGAATGATGTATGAATGCAATGTGTGAATGTATCAATTGTTCTAATGCAGCGTTGCTGAACTAGGGAAAATAAATCCCTGACTACTGTTGGCGGATGAAGAGCGTAAGTCTTCATATTCTATTGGAGTTGAAATGCTGAGAGACAGATTTCCATTGTTAGAAAAATAAACTCTGTTGGAGAAGGGCAACACCGTAAACTGCTTGGGAACTTTTACCAAACCTTTATTTGTGAAACCTAAGAAGCTTATGGATTATGCTAAAGGATTCTTTGAGATACCGGGTAAGTAACTGGAAAAAAATTTCGCTGCTGAAGAAAGTATCTATGGGGATTTGCAGATGGCCTTTAGACATTGTCCCTTTTCTAAAAGCCTGCAGTAACTGTCTTTCTGTTTTATTTATGTGCGTATTTGTAAACGGTAATCACATTCAAATGCATGTGTTCAACAATAATCACTGGACGTTTTTGCAAACAAAACAGAAAGGTAAAAACAAA